CTTGCTAGAAGGATGTAAGGGGCCCAAGATAAAATTTGAAAATTCTTCCACTTAGGAGAAGTGTAGCCACTTAGACTCCGTCAATAAGGGGGGTAAATCAAGAAATAAGCACTACATTCACTGCCAGATGAAGTGTAGCCACTTAGTCCCCGAGCCTGCTGGAAGATGAAGAATGAATCTTGTAGCAGGGTCAAAGAAAAGAAGTCTGAAAGCTTGCCGACGTCATCTGACATGCACGTATCAAGACCCCAGACGTTTTGCCCAAGATCAGTACCCTGATCTGAACAGCATGGAGCAACTTGATAGCACACCAATGAAACATAGCAAGACCCGGCCACCAAGGGAGTCCCCAGCTTAGCTGGTGACGCTTGCACGAAGAATTCGAACGCCAAGGAGTCCCCGGCTTAGCTGGTGATGCTTGCACGAAGAATCCGAACACCGAGGAGTCCCCAGCATAGCTAGCGAGCCCCAGCGTAGCTGACGATGAAGCCCATGCGATGAGCAGTCCAACCAACTGGTCGGCGGCGAAGTGAACGCCGACCAGGAGTGAGTGCCGAGCAATTTGACCAGTTGGTTGGCGGTGAAGTCCGTCCGATAGGTGGTCCGACCACCCAAACGATGATCATCTTGTCCAGTCCCTGAGCGTAAGCTCGTTGACCGAGCCATGCCCTTGTGAAACAAATGTGTAGAATGGGTAGTACATGATGTAAAAATAGAATATATGAACTCCGAAGAAGAATCAGCAATGGTGATGAAATAGCGTATGCAACTCGACGATCAGTTGGTGTGAACACTTTGTGTTATTCTGAAGATGTGCTTATATTTAATATAAACTGCCCGACCAGTTAGTGTGTAGCTGAGTCTCTAGCCCTAGCTAGCCTGTTAAGCATAACGTGGAGCGCGGAGCCCGTGTGCGTGTAGGAAGAGCAGGGCATTGCTAAGGAGGTGCGGCCGACCACCCCAAACGTAGAGGGCAGGCGCTCGTGCACGTGTAGGGAGAAGCCGAAGACAGGGCCGTCTCTAGGAACATACGAGCATCAACATGACTGCTCAGGGATTTGCCTCAGGCTTAGCTGTATGTCATGTTTAAGATGGTATACATGAAAGAAAATCGTTTGGAGAGCAAACATGGAGAAAACAGCTCAGAGAAACAATGGGAGATATATGAAATATTTAGAAAAGTAATAAAGCGTGACTTAGCTTTAGACAGAACATCTGGTCGGTGGCGTATGGCGTTATCTGGTCGGCGTTGACGGCGAGCACCCGACGGGCGATGAGTTTTCGATCTCTTCTGTTCTCGACGATGGCGAGGCCCCCAAAGATAGTGGCAACAACTTTGTCATGATCCTAGAAGGCGTTATTTTTGTCCCTAGGTGGTTGGTGACGTCTGGCTCTATCGTCGTTGTCGTCACCCTTCTTTTTGGCCTAGAACTCCTTAGCCAAGCCAAGGCAGTCCTTCATCTTGTGCTTGTTGTTCTTGTGGAGGGGGCACGGGCCTTTGAGGATTTTTTTTGTACTGCTCGTAGTAATTATGTTTGGCGCAATGTTCATCAACGATGGCGACGTGTTGTCTGGTCGGCGACGGCGATACTGACCAGCTTTGGACCCCTCCGGCCGATCATGGGCACTGTCCCGATGGTGACCGCGGTCGTCATAGCGACGGTCACTGTGGCATCGTTCGTTGGGGCGCTCGTCGCTGCGGCAAGTTGAGCGGTGAGTGCCTGCATCCTCGTTGAAGTGAACTTCTGGCTCTTCAGCGTCGGCATACTGATCGGCGGTTGTGATCATCTCACCAATCCCCTTTGGTGGCTTACGATTGAATTTGGAGCGGAGGTCACGGTGATGGAGTCCTTGGATAAAGGCGGTGATGACTTTTGCTTCCGTGATGTTGGGAATATAATTCCCCATCTCAGAAAAATGTCTGATGTAGCTATGGAGGAGCTCGAACGGTTTCTGATAGATACGATTCAGATAATGCTTGGTGCCTGGCCGAGTACACGTAGCCATGTAATTGTCGATGAAGACCGCCTTCAACTGTTCCCAAGATCTGATGGAATCCAGGACGAGGCTCGTGAGCCAGTTCATTGTGGTTGGTGTGAGCATGACGGGGAGATAGTTCGCCATGACACTGGTATCTCCCCCGGTGGCACGCACGGTGGTGGCATAAGCTTGTATCCACTGTGTGGGGTTCATCTGCCCCTCGTAGGGCTCGACCCCGGTGATTTTGAAACGATGGGGCCACTGGAGTGTTCGGAGTGCTCTCGTGAATGCTCGGGGCCCTTCGGGATCATCACCATCGGGATCTGTAGCAATGCCGGCGTTAAGTGGTTGGAGGGCTGCATCCGGATTACCGAACTCTTGCTCGTATTCTTGACGTTGGCGTACTTCCTCCACATGCCAAGGGAAACGACGCCCATCGATATGACGTCACGCATCCCGGAGATTGTTGATGTGCGCTCGGACATCTTGGTCGACCTCTTGGTCGAGTTGGCGAGGGTAGTTGATACGGTTCCCCTAGCTCCCCCTGGAGGGGTTGTCCATCATCACAATGTTGATCGGCGAAATGGCTTCTGCCAGGGCGACGATTGGATCTTGGCACGGTGGATCGGCGATTCGAGCTTGTCGAGTAGGAAGGTCCCTGATCCTAGCAAATCTCGTTGACATGGCAGTGCGCAGCTTTAAGCATTGCGGCAACCTTGGCGACCTCTAGCATTTGCTCGAACCGAGTAAGCTCATTAGCAGCCACGGCCAAGTTGATGCTTGGGGTCTTGTAGACATCGTGGTCATCGACATGGAGGAATTTGTCGTCGAGGTTGCGGCAGAGTGGGCATGGCCTCCCTTGTGAGTCGAGCTGTTCTCCATTGCGAGCAGCCTAGGCTAGCACAATGGCGGCCTCATTTGCTTAGCGCTGCGCATGGTTGGCGTTCCTGTTGACACGAGCTGCGCGGTCCTCATCGGTTTCTCCATCCCGTGGAGGGCTGTCGACGTTGACATTAAAAATTCCGCCTCCTCGGAAGGGTGGGGAAGGAGGTTGGACGGCAGCGGTTTCGGCGACAGTCTCCATAGAGCCCTGGGACTTAGAGTCTGGATTTTTCTCCAGGATGGTGTGGAGGGATGCTTCGGGACGTCGACTGATTTACAACATATTGACAGTCGGCGAGAGCTGGTCGGCGATCGGGTCGGCGAGAGGATAGATATCTCCCACCTGGTTGGCGAATTTGCCCCTTAGGGCATCCTGATGGATGGTGGCCGTATCCCCTGGAGTTTTCTGATCGGCCTCCGATAGATCAGAATCGAAGGGTGGTCGGCGCTGAACTAGAGTGGTCAGAGCCGATTCTGCGATGGAGAGGCAGTCGGTGAGCTTCTGGCCAACCTGATCGATGGATGCGATCAGATCGTCGTTGCTGATCTGCTTCCTCGGATAGCAGGGGAGCGGGCGGCGAATTGTTGGTGAAGACGACCTCGGAGGCGGTTCCGAGATCAGATCTGCAGTTGCAAGTGTTGGCGTGGTCGGCGCAGAATCGATCTGCACCGGCTCGATGATCTCTTCGTCTCCGTTAGCATTGATGACCTAGGAGATCGATCCGACCGTAAAGATCTGACCGGGCTTTGGAGAGGACGAAGAGCCTGCAAAATGTACCATCGTCGATAGAATATCGTCGACAGTCCTCCAAGGGGTATCCCACGAAGGTAGATTGATCGACAGTGGTGCGCGTAATCAAGAACAAGAAGACAACAGAGACACAAGAGTTAGACAAGTTCGGGCTGTGTGCAAGACGTAATACCCTACGCCTATGATCTGTTGGTTTGTATTGACTATCGTATGATATTGCGTGTGATCAGATCTCTTAGGCTAAGCCTAGGATCCGTACGGGGATATCGACTAGGGGACCCTGGCCCTCCTTATATGTTCTGGAGAGTTAGGGTTACAAAAAAAGTATCATATTTAGTATTATACAATATCTTATTGTAGCCTTGTGGTGCACGCCGACCAGTATTGTGCGCCGCACACCTTAATCTTGTGGGTTGGGCCATCTCTGATGATACTGCCCATATCTTGTCTTGTAGATACCGGAAGTCATATCCCCACAACCAGCAACCTGACAAATCTATTGATCTTGTCCATTTTTATGTGAAAATCTAGCAGAAAAAGACAATTATCACAAACATAGTGTACTCAACTTACCCGAAGCTCGGAGCCAAATGCATCTAGATAACTGAAGCTTTAATTTAAATGGTGTTTGGTTCCACCTCCTAAATTTTAGTATTAAATATAGACTATTTATGAAACTAAATGCATATATTGATACTGTTTTGAGAGACGAATTTTTTAACCCTAATTAGTTATGATTTAATAATGTGGTGCCACAATAAACATATGCTAATAACAGATTAATTAGGCTTAATAATTTTATGTCGCACAACAGTTTCAATCTGTGCACTTGTAAGATCACCGTGGTAGCAATTTAGAGTTCTAGAAATTGTATAATAACTGGACCGGAAAACTTACTTTACGGTTATAAACATGGCTTCAGAACAGTGGGACAAGCCACAAGAAAAATAAAAAAGTAAACCCAACAAAGTTTTCCGGAGTAGTACTACTACAGTGTTGACCAGTATCATGGATGACATAGGAGTAGTGCACAACTTTTTCCCCATGCCCATTGCTATCTGAAATAACCGTAATGCATGATTCCTTTTCCTTGCACGGCTTATAAAAAAGTTACATAAAAAAATGAAAAAAAGCCCCCGAAGAGCAAGCAAGGCCTGGACGACGAGTCGACGAGACGAACCAACGCTGGCGAGGCTATAAAACCAGGGGAGGCCTTAACCACCCGCCCCACTCTCTCTCTCTCTCTCTCTCTCTCGTTCAGAATTGGCACCTGGGGTCATCAGACTCATCGCTGGTAACGCGCCCGCTCGCTCACTCTCATCACACCACACTTCGCCCCCCTCCACCTCCATAACTCCCCCGCCCCGCCCTGCCCCGCGCCGCGCGCATGGGCGATCCCCGGGCCCGCACGTCCGCCGTGGCCGCCGGCGAGCTGCGGCCGCCGGAGCCGCCGCTCGACCCGCTCGAGTTCCTCTCCCGCTCCTGGAGCGCCTCCGCCGGGCGCGCGTTCGCGCCCCACCCGCCGCCGACGCCGCCGCCGGCGGCCGCGCTCCTCGCGGCCAGCCCCATCGCGGAGGACGCCGCGTGCGAGCTCGACGATGGGGCCGTCGTCTGCGGGGTCGCCGCCGCCGCCGCGTCCGGGAGCTCCTTCTCCTTCGCGTCCGCCGCCACGTCGCAGCTCATCATGGAACGGATCCTCGCGCAATCCGTGAGAGCCTCCTTGCCCTGACTCGTTCCTCTCCTTCCTCTACTCCGATCCGTCTTGTTTGTTCTTCCTCCTCAAAATCGCTCTCCGTTTTTTCAAGGAAAAAATCGAATCTTTTCAATCGTTATTACAGGAGATTTCCCTCTTGGTTATTGGTAACACCTGGGCGCCATTAAATAAATAAAACAAAAAAGATGTGTGCTTTGGTCGTTTTTTATTTGCCGATTCGGGCTTCTTTTTTTTCCTGGCTGCATTTTACTGCAGATTGGTTGGCTCCATCTGTTCTGTACAAACGTCCCGATTTCTTCCTCTGCCTGTAAAGTTTCGCGGGAATTTGTGGATCTTTTTTCTTATCTGGACATCCGATTAGTTAGCATTTTTTTTCCCAGTCAATTCAACTCTTTCCCACATCGGCCAGCTCTCCTCCTGGTTTCACTTTGACCCCGTGTTGGGACAAGGAGAAACTGCCAAAGGAGAGATCTGTTTTCCTGCCAGGCCCGGAAAAACAAGTGTAATCCCCACCATTCTTTCTAGTTAAGTAGGAGTACGCAGCTTAGTCGCCATGAATGATCAGGCTTCTTCCATCAAGCACCATCAATTTCCTCATGCAACAAACATGCCTTTTCCCCCTGAGAAACATGATTTCAGTCGGTTTTACCTTTTCTGAATCCTGATTCCTGATGTCTGAAACACGCTTGTTGGCTGTGTGTTGCAATCCTGCAGCAGGAAGTGGCGCCGCTCACCTCCGGGCGGCTCTCGCACAGCAGCGGCCCCCTCAACGGCGGCGGCTCCCTCTCCGACAGCCCGCCGGTCTCACCGGAGATCGATGACGCAAAGGTCAGTTCCTGCCTTGTCACCTTCTGGTGCATCGGAGATGATGCTACTAGTCGTACGTACAACAGGCTTCTCTGCAATTTTTAATCGCTAGAACTCTGCTGGTCTCTGGCACTAATCTGCAGTTTCTTTACGGCGTAGGCTCACTTGGCGAACGTTGAGCCGTACTGATGCCATTATATTAGCTGTTTTAACTGTGTTTGTAGAATAATCAGGGGTAGATAATCCAAGTGATTCCTGCTTTTACTGCCGGCCTAGTGGACACACTGTTTGCTGTTGTTCATGTGTGCTCCAAGTAATCAGGTCATGTTGTGTGCTTTATTTCTAAGGGAGGGGAAATCATTTCTGTGTGCTCCATGGTTCACGCCCTCAGTTAACAAAAAGGATAAGAAAAAAAAGAGAATGAAGATTCTGAGCCAAGCTTTTGTTTAATCATTTGATATTCTATACTAGTATTATTTTTGTTGGATAACAGCATCAGGTTACCTAGTCTTTTGGTCAGGTAGTATCTTTTAAAGAAAATAGTTTATGTTTACATACCTTTTGTCTGTTTGTACCAGTAGTATTAAGTTGTTTTGTTTTGTAGTACTAGTACTAGTAAATACAGAATTTTATAACAGTAATAACGAGCACAGCAGCTTCGGTTAGTTTTGCCTGCATTTCCGTCGGGGAGTGGCAGAGTGATTCACTTCACTTGGCAGTGGTAAAAAAAGAGCTCGGCATGTTGCTTGCTCGTAAACGATCGTAAATTTTCAGCCGGGAATAGTGTTTTTCCCTCACACCAAACCAGCCAGCAGTAAATAATCCACGATACGATACGGCCTCCCGAACAGGCTGTTCCAGAGAGAGAGAGAGAGAGAGAGAGAGAGAGAGAGCAGACCAGACACAGGCACAGCCAAGTAGGCATTGGAAGCTGTGGGTCTGCCTGGGACAAAGCGACCAGCCTTGCAGCCTTCCCTGTGCCGGGCACCAAATTTTCTAGAGCGAGAGTGCAAGAAAAACCAAAGAACTGGTAGCCGTGCCTTTCGCGGCTTCCAATAAAACCCCTGACTTGCAAGCCAGACCCCCCTTTGTTTTTTCCCCACAGCTTTTGTTTCGCCCAATCTGTCGTGCGCCCTGCTCGTCTGAGAGTTCGTGTTCGTTTCGTTGTGAACGTCGCGGGTCGCGGCCGTGCCCACCACAGTGCTGCAGTCTTCAGTGTAGCGTAGCAGCGTGCTAATACTGTAGCAGTAGTAATCTTTTGTCATGGACGCGTCTCTTTCCATCACCCCACCGACAACCCCTGCACGAAAATTGCAGCTTCAGCCTTCAGGTCTCTATCTAGCCACATGAACAAGATGGAGACCTTCCTCTTCAATGAAACTGTAGCACGTACTACTAATCCTCGAAACCCCCATTTATACAAAATTTGTACCCTCATTCGCTGAAACTTGAAGGTTTGTACTAATCCAGCCTGGCCTTGTTGTTGGTTTGAGGAAAGAATCCTCCTTTGTCCTAGATATATGAGGACCCTTGTGGCATGGCAACCGGTAGTCAAGAAAAGCGTCTCCTTTCCCTTTCTTCCATGCTCTTGTTTGTGCTTCATGCTTTGTTTCATTCATTCCTTGCTGGTACCTCCAGTCCTCCAGCACTGTACAAGTGGTTGGCCGTCAGTCCTTGCGACAATAATTGCATGTTCCAATTTCCTTTTCTGATCTTCCAGCACGTTTCCTTAGGAATGATAGTGGTGTGGTGGTTCGATGATTCTTGCAAACAATCACAGCATTGTGCTGGAATGCAAGAGCAATTTGTTGTTTGGACGCGTAGCTGCAAGAAGAGATTTCTCCATTTCAGTCATTCAGATACATAGTACACCTGAAGCCTGAAAACAAAAAATTCTACCAAGTACCTACTCATACTGTAATTAAATCAGTGTGAAACGCCTCCACAGATTCAGCTGTTTCCCCCCACCCTGGTTTCATGCTCGTCCACCCTGGTTTAGGGACAAATTGGCCCAAGAATGCCCCCACATCTGCGCCGTTCCACATGCCCCGAGAAAAGACAACGCCTTATGAGAGGTCATGGTCAAAGATCTGATTAGTGATTTGGATAGGCAAAGCCACCAACACTGGGGCACTCCGGTCATTCCACCTGAGCTAATCACACTTCTACTCTATCCCCGAGCAGAGCAGCTCAGGCGCTCAGCTTATCTACTGTATGATATACCATGGGTTTGTTGTTTGCTGGCCGTGTATACAGTATTCGTAAAGAAGCTTTGATTCCTGCTGCTATCGTCGTCTCAGCGCGCGCCTGTCCCTGGTCTCCTGCCTGCACGAGCAAACACTGCAGCAATGTCCAGTCTGGTGGAGCCGCACACCAGCAGGCCATGTCCAACCCTCTGCCCATCGCTCTCTCTGGCCTCTGGGTGAAAGGCAACGGCGGCAGGCTCGCAGTCGCAGGCATGCTCGCGGTCCGTGCCGCATCATGAGGGCTGCCCGCCTGGCCCTTTTCGGTCCCTAATCGAGTGTTATTCCCTCCGGCTTTTCTAATCCGCCCTTTTCGATTGGGCTGCATTGGTTTATAAGTCATAGCTGAAAGTACCGTTAATTGGTTTGGTATGGGAGAAAAATATTATTCGTTAGCTGATAAGTCATGGCTTATAAGTCAGATACGAGCAAGCGAACCTAATCTAGGGCTAGCATTATCCATCCTCCGCTGCCTCATCATTCGTCCTGTTCGCGTGGCTGATAAGCCATAGCTGAAACAATTGTTAGCTGAAATAATTGTTGGCTGATTTTTTATGAGAGAAAAATATTGTTCATTAGTTGAAAAAGTATGGCTTTAAGCTAAGCTAACACGGTGATTGTGTCCATTGTCTTCTCTTCTGTGGCTCTCTTGTAATGCAATAGTTAACTGGCTTCTGAAATGGAATATTGGCAGGCTTTAGCTTTCATGGATTGATTTGTTTTGTCCCAGGCTACGCGTTTACTACTAACATTGTGCTTGTATAGTGAGTTGTGGTAGTACTGGCTGATGAGCTGCACCTTTCTTTAATAATCACTACTGTACTAGTTCGCCACTGTTGGTTAAGGACCCATCTCTGAAAACTGGAACCGTTCTGTCACTTCAAGGTGTCCCCATTGTTGTTGCAGTTTGGAACAACACGTTCACTGCACTGGATTTGTACTACCTCCAACGCATTTAACATTTTCCTGCTGATCATTGAATGCGTTACTGTTTGCCTAGTACCTTTGAGTAATCACCGTCCTAGTAGTTACTCCTAAATATAACAAGATCCAATTTTTATTTTTTGAAATTTAGCACTAGATAAACTGAATGAACTTTACACCCGAAATCATGCAGTACTGCAGAGCGGTCAGCACGCCGAAGCCGCAGGCTTACCGGGCCGGCAACAAGACGGTCGGCCGGTGGCTCAAGGACCGGAAGGAGAAGAAAAAAGAGGAGACGCGGGCGCATAACGCACAGGTCCACGCAGCAGTGTCCGTCGCGGCTGTGGCAGCTGCCGTGGCTGCTGTGGCAGCAGCTACCGCCGCGGCCTCAAGTTCCGGCAAGGACGACCGGGCTGCCCGCACAGACATGGCCGTGGCGTCGGCTGCGACCCTCGTGGCTGCGCAGTTCGTGGAGGCGGCGGAGTCCATGGGCGCCGAGCGGGAGCACCTGGAGGCTGTCGTTGGGTCGGCTGTGAACGTCAGGACGCCCGGTGATATCGTCACCGTCACGGCTGCTGCTGCCACTGGTGTGTCATCACCACCTATCCAGAACGATCATCACTAGAGGGACTCGAACTTGAACGGTCAGTAACGTATTGTTGTTTGGTTGCAGCATTGAGAGGCGCGGCGACGCTGAAGGCGAGGGCTCTGAAGGAGGTGTGGAACATCGCGGCGGTGATCCCGGTGGAGAAGGGCGGCGTCGGTGGAGGTGGGCACCACCAGAAGCACGGTGCGCCCAAGCAGCAGCATCACCGCAAAATGGAGAGCAACGGCAGCAGCATCAGCGACGTGTCGTTGGAGGAGGAGAACAACTTCCTCGGCATCTGCAGTCAGGAGCTGCTCGCTCGCGGCACCGAGCTCCTCAAACGCACCCGGAAAGGTGACAGAATTTCTGCCATCATTGTGCTGTTGGAATAGAATGCGTGTTCTGGTGTACGATCATTCCGAATCATGATGTACTGTTAGCATAGTCGATGTCGTACTGATGTTTGGTCTGTGGTGTTCATTTGCTTCTACAGGCATTCTGCACTGGAAGGTCGTATCGGTGTACATCAACCGGATGGGCCTGGTAAATGAATCGCTTCTGCATGCTGTTCAACTTTGGTTGCGACAGTTTAGTGATGATGTTTTGCTTAAGGGGAAAAAATGTGGCTTTGCAGGTAATGGTGAAGATGAAGAGCCGGCATGTGGCAGGGACGATCACGAAGAAGAAGAAAAGTAAGCAAGCGGCAGCAAAACAACCACGCATGGCTTGAACAGCGTGCCACTGTTGCCCACGGCAGGCACTGTTGTCCCTGCACTGACTGACGCCCATGTCCCCGTCAATGTGCAGGTGTGGTGATCGACGTGTGCAGGGACGTAGCGGCGTGGCCCGGGCGGCACCTGCTGGAGGACGGCGAGCACCGGCGGTACTTCGGCCTGCGGACGGCGGAGCACCGGGTGATCGAGTTCGAGTGCACCAGCCAGCGCGAGTACGAGATGTGGACCAAGGGCGTGGCGCGGCTGCTGAGCATCGCTGCCGAGCGGAAGCGCCTGGCGTGACCTGACCCTGACCTTCTTAACCTGCGTGCCGTCACCGTCACTGCCGTCGGCGACCTGCCGACGCTGCCCTGCCCCCGGGCCACGGGCCAGTGCCATCCACCGTCCGTTGCTTGCTAGCCTAGGCTGGTGGAGCAGACGCGAGCGGTCGAAGGCAGCAGAACAGAGCGGCATGGGCATTGGGGGGTGGAGTGCTGGCATCCCTGTGCCGTGCCCCACAGGAATTATGTTAGCTAGGTGGGGGGGGGGGGTCCTGGTGCTGCTAGGGCACGAGGTTGAATCTGTGGTGGCGGTGTGGTTTTTGTGCGGGGATACGACGCCGGTGCATGGGGCGCCATGCCTTGTGGTAGAGAAGGTGCACGGCAGCAGGCGCTTGCTGAGCTCTGCCCTCTTGTTCTCTCTCTCTCTTTCTCTTGTAAGTTTTGCTTCTACTCTTTTTCTTCTTTTTTTCTCTCGTTTGGGGTGTGGCCATACTGGACTGTAGCTGGTGAAAGATAAATGCTTTGTTCTGGTAGTAGTAGTAACTCTGTAGTTACCGTAGTAATTACCTACCTACTCAGTAAATTAAGCATCTGTTCATTATCTGTTACATACGGAGTGCTCCTACACACAATACATTAGGTGCTACAAAGTTAGTACATGGTGATTAGCTCTAGTTGTGAATGAATCTTTGACTGGACAGTCAAAAGCTGTTTCGTTCCCGTGGGCCGTCCTGCCGAGCGCCGAGCAGCCGAGGCGAGAGCAGAGCCATCCGGCCATGGTCCGGCAACAGCAACAGCGAAAGCGAGGCTGTCCGTCGCGTCAATGAATTCCCCAGGGCCCCGTCGCCGCTGTGGAGCAGCAGATGATCTTGTTCTCTTGTGCCGCCGGAGCGAAGATTGCACTCTACTCCATCCTCCGCTGTCTTTGATCATCGTCTGCTTCTAGAGCCAGGATCACACACAGCCCTCCCTTGCAGTTCCAGATCAGGACCACTTGCCTGATAATTGGACAGCTTGGACCATAGATACAACACCATTACCATCGCAGCCAGCATGCAAAAGTAGGTGCAAGATATTCAGAGAAGTTTGTTGTCTTGTGCGGCTACCGTTTAAGAGCGAAGTATATTAGCCGTAAGCCGGCTGGGTGCCGAGGTGGAGATGAGAGGAGAGGAGAGAAAAGAGAAGTGGGCTATAACCTTACAGCCGGCCTAGACACAGGAATCGAGAAACTTTGTGAGAAAGACAAGTTGATCATGTATTAATACTGAAACACTAACTACTATATGGGTGGTCTAAGAGAAGGTTGTAAAGACCCTTACAACCAGCCGGCCTATTGGTTGTATTATTAGTCTTGCTCTAACGCAAGTGTGTTGCAGTATCTGAACGTACAAGACCTTCTCGATCAGGTACACTAGTAGTAGAGTATAGGAGGGAGGTACTACCTTCATCACAAAATAAATATAATTCTAGCAAAGTGTCACATTTTAATACCTTAAGTTTGATTAATTATAGATAAAAAATACCAATATTTATAATGCTAAATTAATATAATTAGACTGATTACGAAATTTATTTTATATTAAATTAATTTGAAGCTATAAATATGAACAACATTAAATAGAAACTTAATCAGACGTGAACCACTTTTGAGACGGAGGTAGTATGTCTCTGACTCTGCTCGAAGATCAAAGCTTGAGCTCTGCGTGTGTAGAAATGACAAAAGCTGATGGCCGCAGTTCATGAGTGTGCGCGCGCGGTGTTCTTTGCCGTGCTCGAGATCGGTGACGCAAAGACGGACGGGATCCGTCTCGCTTTCCCTTTTCCTTTCCCGGCTTTTGCTGCAAAGAGAAACACATGCATACTGCTCGCCCTCCTACACGCAGTGATCCAGCAGCACCGACTGACGAATCCGATGCAAAATCAGAAATGATACTACTAGTAGCACACAGAGAAAGGAAGACGCAGGGAGCCAGGGACGAGACCGGAGGAAGGATTGCGGTTCAGACCGACACCGACGAGGTCAGTTCAGGTGGTCATTCGCCAGATGCTGCGTGCCGGAGGCCGGAGCCCGGAGGGACTCGGCTCTTTCGGCAAATCAAATCCGATTGGATGGATGTTTCAGGCCGTGGCAACAAGGACTGCACGCTTTGTGACGTTTGTGTTGCGTTGCGTCCAGCAACAGTCGCATGCATGCAGCTGCAGCGACCCATGTATGTGCCAATGTCACTCATTGCTAGCACAATCTTTTCTCGCTGCTGCCTTTTAGAATCCGATCAGCTCCGTCGTCAGCAGCAAATACTCCTCGATTACTTCATTGGCTGCTTTCTCACTGACCAAATTGGTGTGCCTGGTACTACTAGCACCGTAGTATGTGGCGTGACACTTGGCCAAGCACGTACCCATGTTTCCTGCGCGCACGGCGCAGGGAACGGGCTCGGTACTTGGCCATGCTCATGCATGCCGGTGAGCCGTGCGATGGCCGGCCGGCGGCTTTTTCCCGTACAACACAGGCCGGGGAATTCCAGTCGTCGCCGCCGCCGTTCGCATGTCCATGTCGTCCTTGCAACAAAACATGGTGGATCCGAAAGCCGGACGCCTGGACCCAACCAACAAGAGTGCACGCTCCCATCCTATTGCTTTCCTTCCCGTTTGCATCTTTAGTGCCGGAAATAAAGTAGCACCCGCCCGGTCCGTTTTGGGTCACCCAACATTCTTGCTCCCGAATATATAGGCAGTCAAATTTTTTATCATTAGGAGACTGAGGAAAGCTGGGGATGGTTATTTAGAGTGGAAGATAGTCCACACGAAAAGAGAGTGTAATCGGGCGGCTCATGAGCTCGCGTATCTGGCGAGGCGTACAAAGCGCTCGGCTGAACGTGCCCGTATGTATCGAGCAAATTATTGCTCACGAATGTAACTTGATTCCTGAGTAATGAATAAAGCTCTCATTTTTTCTTGAAAACAAAACTTAGTGTTGTAGAAGTTTGGTTTAGGACAAAAATAAAATATTTTATATTTCATTAGAAAATGAAGGAAGTCCCGCGACAACAATGGGGCTAAGTCGCCAAGATGTTCACCGGGTCATTCCCAAATCCCAATGAACCAAAGCACAACATTGGCAAGATCGAATATTTTGTAAGAAAAACATAATAGAACAGTAAAATATCATGCATCCGAAAAATGCACAAAGTTGTTGGCTTGTGGCTAGTATAGGTTTGATACTATGATGCACATAGCTGCCGCATGTCGTTTGACAATATAGAGGCTCAACAAATAGAGAAAATGCTCATATCTAACCAGTACAGTACGATCTAATTGCTAATCTTCTACCCAGGGTTTGGAGGACAACATATATAAGAAGGAAACACCAAGGAGCACCAACAGCTATATTGCCAACCTATATCGGCCCATAGTCTCCTTTTCCAATCTATCCTAATAAGGCCATTGGACGGTATTGTTTGGGCTTTTCTGCATTTGTTGGGTCAGAAGAAGGTTCGATCATGTCACAACAGACCATTGTCTAGGCCTAGCCTACTTATCAGAATAGAGAGGTGGTGAGAGGAGCACCCAATAAATCCACTATTAACATACATTTTATGGTGGATAATGGTTAGACTATTTTGATATTGGGCTTGTTTAGCATAACTTGGGCTATGATGCTCAAGTTGGATCTACAGTTTGTAGACAAAATTAGAGTGTATAAATGTTTATATTTGATCTAAATTACAAATAGATCGAATTATTCAGTGCTTTCGACATGCACATGCCTCCACCTTCACATTAAAGATTTTCAAAGCTATAAATACCCAATTTCAAGTGATCAATGGATTTTATGGAACCAAAGCTCTACTAGTCATGGTCACTGGGCACTGTTTTTCTATAACTTGGCCAATGTTGTAAAAAGTTTAATCTAAGATAGAAGTAAAACACCTTATGTTTTAGAACAAAAGGATGTAGTCTTTTCCTGACATAACAATAAAGCAAAGATGCCACTACAGTCTACATACTATAAAAAAGAGACAGGCACCCTGTTGATAGAGGCAAGCATTTTTTAATACTGCTTTGTAAATGGCTAGGTGGATCCAAAACAAATACCCCCTATATTAATCATTTATAGAGATGGACATTCTAAGGAGACCACAACTGTAAATGGCAAGGTGGGCCCAAAAAATACCCTAGAATCTTATAACAGCATGGTCAAATTCAAACAGGCCGAGACGTAAGTGTTAGATTCATCCTCTAGACAATAACCGCCATCCTTAAGAACTAGAAGCATACCCCGTGCGTTGCTGCGGGAATTGCGGATTAGGGATTGTATGGTATGATGACATGTTCAACAAAATGCTTACATGTGTTGCTGACGTGGACATTACAGTTGCATGTGCTAGTGAATTTTAATTGTATGTGATAGTGCATTGCCTAGTTGGACAACTTGCATGTTGAGATAAATAACTAGTGAGGTTTTGCTTAGTGGATTTTAATGATATGTGGTAGTGCAATATGCCTAGTTGGACAACTTGCATGTTGAGATAAATAGCTAGTGGAATTTTGCTTTATAAGAGTACAAGATAAGATAAGATAGGTCTGTTTTGACTAATCACAACCCATGATCGGTGGGCCCAATAGGTCACATTTGTCCTGATCCCTGGCTGACCCATGCTATAAGAACGAAGAGGGCACAACACCTAAGATGATTGTTATCCTGCTGCAGCCACTCTAACATAAGTACTAGACCGATCAGGGGGATGTAACAACCTGGACGAGTGGGAGGAAGAATTAGGTCGAATCGGTGAGCTTTATTGTGAACCGTAACAATGTTTGGATTTAAGAGCGGATGAACCGCTGAAGAATCTACTGCTATTTCTATGAATCTATCAGCTAATCGGTTACTGTTCTTCCCCTATCTCCTAACACCCGGCGGCTTATATAGCCAGCAGCCGTAGCTGTCAAGTAATCAACAACAGCTCATCACCAACCGTCGTTGACGGACACGCCACAATCACAGAGAGTCACTACATCGCA